CAAATTTGAGCATGCCATCTACACTGTGGAAAAATGGTGGCAGCATCATGCTGTGAGGATGATTTTCAGAGTTAATGGAAGGATTACATCGGAATGGCTTAGATCAAAGTGTAGCCATGTGTAACAATGGTCCAGTCAAAGTCCAGACCTTAATCCAGTTAATACAATTTGTGGCCAAACTTTAGCATAACTTTTCACAGATTATACTTTCCATGCAGTCAGACTGAACTAGAAGAAGCAGAATGACCAAAGCCCCAGTTTTTACAGCCATAACCCAAAATCTTTAAGACGACATTTCTGTAAAAGGGTATTTTAAGGAGGATCACACGTGGCACAGATTTCAGGTTTTTATATGTGGGAAAAAATATTCAAACTATGTAAAAATTTCCTTCTATTCCAAAGCTTTGTACAACCTTGTGTGAGAAAATACACTTAAGGTTGAGGCTGTAACATGACAAAAGAAGGAAATGTCCAGGCTTCTAAATAATTATAACTAAACTACAACATGACCTAGTGGTGGCAGCATGGTGCTGTGGGAAAGAATTTCTTGAGCAGGAACAGAGGAAAGCTGGTAGAGCTGAGTCAGAGGGGCTGAATATAAATGTAAGCCACACTTTGTATTTGTAAATCAATTTAAAAAGTTTACTTTTGCAAGGTGCAGAATAGACAGCATAAGCTTTAAAAATGTAATATTCAAAATGTAGTAATTTTCAGGGTTTTTGTATAAATTAGAAAATTTGAAAAAATTTTAAGTAATAAAGTAATGGAACATTTAAGTTGGGCCTCAGACTCACAGAGGTGACCAGTTGTCAGAACAACACGTGAAACCTTGTTGGTCATTCCTGACCATCACACAGATATTGATGTACTGTCTGACCATCTGTCCTGATAACTTAGAGCCTTTATTAGCTCAGAAACAGAACAGCTACTAAACAGACTCAAGCCTCTCTTCTTGGACACGTCTGCTTTAAAGACAGACAGGCAGAGGAGAACCAACCAGAACCTCTTCTTCATAGTCACATCCAGCATCAACACAAGCAACTTCTTCATCCATCTGTTGCTTTCACATTCATTTTGTTCATTTTGATGGTGAAACTGCTTTGCTTGATGGTAATCATGTTTTATTCTGTTCAGGAAGTGATCATGTTACCATACTTCTTTAATTGCTGTGGCTTACAGTTTTTTTCTTTTCATGCTTTTACCTTGTGATTGATATATGTTGTTGTCCTGACAGGAGAAATCTTTTATGTGTTTCAGAAGCAGCTGTTTGGCATTGAAGGACCCTCATCTATGCATCTGACCGGTTGGAGGAAATACTTCAATAGCTACACACTGCAGGGCCGCAGAAATGTACATAATGCACTTCACATACAGCACATATTTATAACAGATATCCAGTCCAGTATAACAATTCATGAAAAAGAATTGTTATACTTTAAATTTTTCACATTTTGTACACTAAAGCCACTAACTTCAGTTTATTTAGTTGGGATCAGATGTGATAGGGCATCACAAATAATGCATACTTATAAAGTGGAAGGAAAAGCTGACTTTTTTTAAATGGCAGTATTATTTCTTTTCCAGGCAGATAATGCCACTTTATAGCACAATCAAGTAACTATGATACCTTAGTATTAATAAAAATGTTATAAAATTCCCTTCTCACCCTGCGTGGGTCCCAGGAACAACATCAGACATCTCAGTCCAGAAATGTGCAGTTCTAGGCACAGCCAAGATACTGGAGGAGAACCTGAAGCTCCCAGGCCTCTGGTATATATATATATATATATCAAATATGACTTAAAAAAATTTGATTTTATAATTTCGTGCCTTGAAATGAGGCTTCTGTCTCTTTAAATGCCTTCTCTTCCTGAAACTTCACCTTTAAGGAAGTCAGCATAACATCGCTCCTCTATAAACCTTTTTTTTGCATATTTCTCAAATATGCATAAAAAAACTCAAGGTATGTTTTTGGTGAAGAAATAACATTATAAACTAATGTTATAATGTTAAATAATTAAATGCAATTAAATCCAAATAACTTTTTAAAAAAATATTAACTAATGAGATTAAACTGTTTAAATTCAAGGAAAACATCACACCAGTGTCCGAGAAGCTACCAGAAGCTGATAATAACCTCAGCGTAAATATTTTTATTTATTTATTTTTTTCATGTAAATGCAGGAGCAGCAGCCACCAGGATGGGTTCAGATTCACTGTAAGGTTTCTGTTTCAAACCAGCAGGGCTGTACACTTGTTTCAAACTCTCAGCTTATCAGATTCTTACTTCCTCTTAATTCCTTTGATTGTGTTTCTTTCACTTCATAATTATGTACTATGATGTGCTGGTCAATCACAAAATCCCAACGACATCGAGAGAAAGGGTTTAGAGGGTCTAAGTTGTTCTGCATATTACTGTATCAATAAAGAAATTGTCTTTTTGTGTTGCAGTGTGTCTTGGCTACTTATGGGGTCCTGGTGCTCACAGCTGCAGCTTACCTGATGCACAAACAAAACAAAGATGGAAGGCAGATGTCTGCTTCCACGCACTGAAACTCTGGTTCACTTATTGTTATTCTGTGAAGGAAATAAGGTTCTGGAAGCTCTGAGCTGTTTACTGAGTGTTTTATCATGTCAATAAAGGCTACACTCATGCTTCTTTGGTTGTTGCATTATTGAATTCAAGTTGAGCAGAGCAAGATTTAAGTGTTTGCTTTCGTCATTATTTTCTCACAAGATGCTCGTGTCCTGTGATGAGTCTGGACTGGTTGTGTTTTCTCATGCCAATCACCAACCCTCCCTCTGAAATGTTTTTGGAACATTGTTGCATAAATATGAGATGTTGAGCAAAAAAGAAAGTGATAGTAAGGTTGCTTTTTACTGAAGCTCAATTTATTCATAATTTGCAGATTTGCAAGAACTAATTATTCCTAAAGTTTTATGCATTGTTATGTGTGTGTTGTGACCTTTTTTATTATGAACAGAGTGCAACATTTTGGTCAAGTGGAAACACTGACATGATGTGCAAGAAGTGAGAACAATCACTGGCCTCAGAGTACTTCTCAGGAACTGGGAGGAACTCGGCTAGAATTTAAAAAAAGAAGTCAGAACAGAAAGCTGTGGTAGGCAGTCACACATTTTAAACACAGCCTTTAGTGTTTATTTCACTTTTTTACAAATATTTTGACCTTGTTTACCTTCCATTGGACCAAATGTTTATGCTAGAACACTGGGAAAATTAGAACTGAAAACCCTAAAGGAATTGTAAAAAAAAACCTCAATTCATTTTTGAGAATTTCCTGCAGTCAAGTTGCCATTACAATGACTTTGACTCACCAAGTCAGAGTTTAAAAGCCTACAGTTTGGATTCATTTTAGTTGATTTGATTTTATGTTTTAAAAGTTCACTTTTTAGTAAGTCTATAATTGATTTAGTACTTTACATTTCCATATAAAATGCACTTGTTTAATTGATCATCACGTTTTAAAACCACTTTGAAAGAAGGAGGTTTGGCAGTTTCAGGTCTTGACGGGTCTGTTTCAGAACCAAGTCAAGAACCTGTTGCTCTTCTGGGTAAATGAGTGAGTTTTTATTCATCTTTGTTAATCTTGGTCCCAAAAAAGAAAATGTATCAGATATGAATGTTCTCTTTACATTATAGATATATAGTTTGCTTATCAACGCTGCATTTCTAAACGATAGAACAGTTTCCACGCACACATATATGAATACGGCTGCTGGAAGATCACGTGATTTATAAGAATCAGTCGCCGAGAAAGAGAAAGTGAAAGCAGCGGCTGCTGTAACACCTGATCTCCTTCATGACTCCGCCTTCAGAAATATAGTAACCGAAAGCACAAGATTTCTGTTAAAACTTCTTCTACCCTCCGCTTGCAGTAGAGAAGCTGCCCAGAGCTCCCTGCTGTCAGTAAGTAGATCACAAACTTTCATTATTTCCAATTTGAATCAATATGCTATTGAAATGTATTTGCGCCCATCTTGTGCGTAGTGACGTGTCACAAGTGTTCTTTCAGGTTAGAGCAGCACTGACAGATGAACTGCTTCACATTTAAATGTGAAGTTACCAACTCCACCCTGTTACAGCATTTTACCGCCTCATTAACTTGTTTGACATCATGAAAATATTCAACCTTCTCTTCAGAAACTGGGGTTTAGTTGAATAATATTTATTGAGCAGAACATAGTTTTTTTGTTTGTTTTGTATTTTTAAGTAAGATGGAATCATTCAACCTGACCCAGAAACCTTACAGAGAAATCTTTATTTCAAAACGGAAAGTTTCAGTAACAGAAGTTGTTTGACACACAAAAAGGGTCTTGGAGTTACAGAGTTTCTGTGAAGGCTATGAAATCCTGATTAAAATCTGCAGCTTTGAAATTTTACTGGATGCAAATAAAAGTGAAACTAAACTGCAGTTTGTTAGTTAGAGAACTCATAAAATCTCAAATTTATAGTTGAAGGGTCCTATGGCATTCTGCTCATCTCTTACTGTTCTTCCAGATCAGAGTTCAGAACAGGACAGTAACTGAATGTTGAGCGGTGGGACGATAGTGAAAATCTGAATTTTTCATTCATTGGATCAAAGCTAGTTCCATTCTGCGATGATCTTAGAAAAAAATTCTGGAAGATAAGAACTAAAAGAGATCCATAAATCGGTGCATCTCTGAAAATTTACTGGCATTATTTTTCACAAAAATTTTGATTTATCAGGAATTTTTATGACTTGGAGAGAAAAACACATGGCTTTATCTCGACTGTTGCAGCACACATTAGTCCAGTCTCACTCAAGAATCCTTTTCACATCTTCAGCTCATCCAGGATGCAGCAGCTGGCCCAGTAGACATGACTTCACCCTTCCTGTCCTCAATTTATCGACTTCCTGTGCATCACAGAATTCATCTTACAATCCTAATGTTGGCTTATGAATGCATAAACAGTCTTATTCCTGAAAAATGTTAAACTTTCTGAAGATGATAGTTTGGTAGTTTTAAAAGAGTTCCATAATACAAATTTAAGCACTTTGGAGCATTTTTCTCAATACTTAAAATATACAACAGGTTTTCACTCAAATATAGTGTTTTTTTGTTTGTTTGTTTTTAATCATTTTGGGGGGGTCTGAAATTTTGGCCAAAATCTATTTTTTCTTCAAAAGACCATAACACATAACTTCAGATACATTTTGTTTAATTGAAATTTTGATATTCCAGATTATTACCATTTATGCATCAATGCATGCACTTCAAAGCTTTATATGATTTTTGTTTAACTCATGCTGTTGGTTGATGCGTTTGTGGTACCAAACATGGTTGGAGTTTTTAGTTTTTAAGTATTTATCTGAAAGAGAGGAGAAAAAGAAATGTTTATTTTCAGTTTTGAGCCAATCAAGGAATAATTTGACAAATCTGATCTTTTGCAGATTGACTGGTGCATCTGTTACCTCTTTTTATTTTAGCTGAGGTATTATAACATCTAAAGTAAAATAAAAGTTATTGTCTTCTGCCAATCTCAGATAGGCATTCAATACACAGCTGAAGGTGTCAAAACTGCAATGCTTGAAACAATTTATTTACCTTTATTCAGTGTTCTGTGAATAGCTGTAATATTATAATACCTTTACTGCAACTCATATCCTCTAAAATTAAATGAACAATGTTATTGGACATCATCATTCACATGACAGAGTGAAGAAATTAACCACTCACAGTTTATAATTGTTGAAAAACCAAAACTAAAACATAAAGAGCACCAGGCGACATGACGAACAGGAACGACTGTGTAAGCAGTGATTTGTTCCTGCCAGTTTTCAACAGACAAAGTTGTTTTATCTTCCTTTGTTGCAGATCACCTATGTTTCACTGGAAGATCACAGAATACATTCATGCTCTGCCCTTCTATCAGAACTTTGTGTTAGAGCCCAGTTCACACTGAAGCTTCATGGAGCCTCAGAGAGGACCTGGCTGCCGATGAGCGAGTGGGAAAGAGCCGATGATGGAGAGCCTGCTTGTGAAAACAGACGAAACCGGTGCAGTGGGCTGTCAGGAAGAGGATTTTCCATTCTAGGATGGTCAGAGACAGCCTGGACAGAACATCTGATCAGAACCAGAAACGGGAGCCAGCAGCTGAGCCACAGAGTCCGAGACAGAACACAGAGGAGTCCGATCGACCCGAACCAACAGCAGAAAAAATTAACACAGAAAACAAGGACCCTGCAGGATCAAAGCTAGACTTTCTGCTCTGGTGCAAACTCAAATTCGAGGAGGAGCCTGAGTCCTGGAGGCTGGTCAGTGTGCAGTTTGATTTCTGTAGCAGCTATGTGCTTTCATTACTGCTGAGTGTTTAGACCAACAATATGAAAGGAACAAGTGAAATCAAGAGAAAGGAACAGTTCACTTAGCAGGTTTTCATTTATTTATGCTGTATAACAAAAGGATATTACTATACATATATAGTAATGATCAATTCCGTATCATTATTAAGAAGTGTCAGTGTTTCAGCTGCTAAAAATGAGGGAAAATACTTTGTTTAATGTCACGGTTCCCACATGGTCTCTGAAAGTACAAAGCGTTTGAGTCTCCAGGTCTGGATGAGAAGATAAAAACAAGTTTGGAAAAAAAATCACATTTCAATGGCTTAATATGTGTTAATTTAATTCAATGCAATTAAAAAAACACTTTCTTAATCCCATAATGAAATGACCTTTCCCAAAAGGCAAACAAATGTGACTCTTTGGAGAAGCAGTGTGATATTTTAAGTCATATTTTGAAAAAATGCCTGAAGCCCATCTGAGAAATCTTTGAATTTTAAGTCTAGAAAACTAAAATATGAAATCTGTTATAGTTCCCAAATGATTGATTCATTATTTATGTATCTCACAGATAAACCTACAGCTGTCAGGTGAATATGACAGAGGAAATCTATTTCCTTCAAGAATGAATAGAAACATGCAAGACACCAAACGATATATTTTAATATGTGACTGTACATGCAAAAACATTTAGTGAAATAGCAATATTATATTATTATTATATTAATATTAAATAGCAACAGGAATAATTTAGCAGTATTGATGCTTTTTGTTGCAGTTCCTGAAATGTTTCTTAACACATTTTTATGTGGGAGGATCTTTATTCGAAAGCTTCCAACATTTATCAGAGTGAACTTCAAACCCGATCACAGAAACTTTTATCTGCAAACCTTTTAGGCCCATTTAGAAAATACTGTTACTGTATTGTTTTATGGTCGTCAGCTGAAGAGGGGCTCTCAAAACAACCTATAAAAATAAAATAGAAAGCTTCACAGAATTCAAGAACTCACAGAACTTGAAGGACAATGTGACGGTACAAATCAAAGTCTGCGTTTTTTCAACGAGTTTCTGTTAATGTTTAAAAGGTGTATCTCAGATTTCAGTTTGGTAGATCAGCATTCCTCATGGCTACTTTTATTGTTCTTACAAAGAGAAAGTAATATGTATGTCTGAAGAAGAAGCTGAATGGAACAAAAATATAATTATAGGGTAAAGATTATTTCATTTCAAATGTCCGAGCAATAACAGAAACTTTGAGAAGTCACAGCAACAATCAGAAGTACTTTAAATGAAAAATAGTTAATTGCTGGAGCTCACAAACAGACTTTTTTTTTTTTTTTTTGCAAATATATAGGACAATAAAACAACTCACTGAAAATATAAAAATACCTACAAATATTTCTTGAGAGTTTTACATAGAATAATGTAAGAATTTGTATTTCTCTTTTAGATTTATAATTTTTCTGCACCTAAATGCTTCAGATCATCAAATAATGACAATGTCAATAAATACAAACCACAGTTTTCAAACAATAATTTCATCTATTGTTAAGAAAAGCTGTCAAAACCAACATAGCCCTATGTTAAAAAGTGACTGCCTTCACACCCTCGCGAAATGATTTACAGTGGTTTTGTTTCAGCTTCACCAGCAACACCCAAACACAGAGTATTTCAAGAGCTGCCAATACTTCGATGGTACCTGCCTGGCAACATGAAGTAGACTAAAAGTCTAAAAAGAAAACATTATGAGACGATCTGAAGAATTCAAGAGCATCTGAAAAAGTATCAATCTGGAAAGGATTGAAAAACCTTTTCTAAAGCTTTGAGACATCACGGTGAGAGTCGTTCTCCATTGGTGGATAAAGACCGACCAAAACTACTCCACGAGGAAATCTTGGAATCATCCAGAACACAGAACAATATCCAAGGCACTGCAGGTCTCACTTGCCTCTGTTAAAGTCAGAGTTCATCATTCATCAATAAGAAAGAGACTAGGCCAAAATGGGATCCATTACCAAAACCACTGAGAACTAACAGGAACACAAACGTCCATCTCACATTTGCCAAAAAACATCTTGATGATCCACAAGACTTCTGGTAAAATATTTTGCGGACTGAAAAGACAGAAGTGGAGCTTTTTGAAAGCTCAGCATCCAGTTTCGTCTAAGGTAAAATTAACACTGCAGTTCAGTAAACAAACATCTTACCAACAATCAAACATTGTAAAGATGTTTGGTGATGTGGAGCTGCTCTGCTCCAGAGCCACTGCTCTGCTGCTGCAGTGGATCTGTTTTGCAATCATCCTGACTGATTACAAAGCAGGATGATTTGTAATTTACGGAACCATGAACTCTGCTGAGATTGTCCAGATGTTAGTTACCTTAAGCTGAAGAATGCTTAGGTTATACAGCAGGACAACTAACTCCACCTCAGAAACCAAAAAGGTTTTAGAATAGCCTAATCAAAGACTAGACTTACATCTGCAAAGAAGAGAGGGCCAAAAATAATCCAGAGTGATATGAAAGATTTATTATCAGTTATTGCAAACACTTGATAGTTGTTGTTTCTGCCAAAGGTGCCGCAAGTAATTATAAGGTTTATGGGGCAATTACTTTTTCTCATAGAGCCAGGAGGGTTTGGATAGCTATTAATAGGGATGTACAATATATTGGTGCTAACATCAGTATCTATATACTAGTCATTTTTTTAACATATCAGTATCAGTCCAATAAATACAACTGGGCAGAAATTGTTTTCATCTTGGCACAGTTTGTTTCAAGAGGGGAGTGGAGGAGGTTGTCATGTGTTTTCTGATAATGTGACAGTGATGCAGCAAAGGATTGTGGAAGTTGAACTAAAGCAGAGAAGCAGTGGTGAAGTTAGCAGTGTGGTCATTTTTTTTCAAGGTATCAGAAGTGTAGTGAAATATATATAATCCATCCAGTCATCCATTCTCATCTGTTTATCCGGGGTTGGATCGCAGGGGCAGCACCCTAAGAAGGGACTTCCCTCTCCCCAGCCACTAGTTCCAGCTCCTCCGGGGGAACCCCAAGGCGTTCCCAGGCCAGCAGAGAAACATCGTCCCTCCATCATGTTCTGGGTCTTCCCCGGGGCCTTCTCCAGGTGGGACGTGCCCTGAACACCTCTCTAGGGAGGCGTCCAGGAGGCATCCTTACCAGATGCCCCAGCCACCTCAACTGGCTCCTCTTGACTTGGAGGAGTAGCAGCTCTACTCTGAGTCCCTCCCGGATGACCGAGCTTCTCACCGTATCTCTAAGGGAGAGCCCAGCCACCCTGCGGAGGAAACCCATTTCGGCCGCTTGTATCCGGGACCTCGTTCTTTCGGTCATGACCCAAAGCTCATGACCATAGATGAGGGTGGGAACGTAAATCGACTGGTAAATCAAGAGTTTCGCTTTTTGACTCAGGTCTCTCTTCACCACGACGGACCGGTACAGTGCCAGATTCACTGCAGATGCTGCACCAATCCATTTGTCGATCTCCCATTCCATTTTTCCCTCATTCGTGAACAAGATCCCTAGTTACTTAAACTCCTCCACTTGGGGCAGGACACCCCCCACCGACCCGGAGAAGGCACTCTGCCCTTTTCTGGCTCAAGACCATGGCCTCGGATTTGGAGGCACTGATCCCCAGGAGCTCGCTTCACCATAGGTTGTGAACCACTCCAGTGAAAGTTGTAGATCACCCAACACAACCCTACAACATGCAGGGCTTTAAGGAACTCTTGGCGAATCTCATCCACCCCCGGGGCCCTGACATCAAGGAGCTCTTTAACCACCTTGACGATCTCATCCCCAGAGATTGTAGAGCCCAAGCCACAGTCCCCTGGCTCAGCTTCCTTAATGGAAGGCATGTTGGTGGGAATGAGGAGGTTTTTGAAATATTCTGCCCACAGTCCACCAACGTCCCAAGTTGAGGTCAGCAGCACACCATCCCCACTATAAACAGTGTTGGTGCTGCACTGCTTCCCCCTCCTGAGGCCCCAGACCGTGAGCCAGAATTGCTTCAAAGCCATGCAGAAGTCTTTCTCCATGGTCTCTCCAAACTCCTCCCACACCCGAGTTTTTGCCTCAGCAACCACCCAAGCCACATGCCGCTTCGCCTGCCGGTACCCATCAGCAGCTTTTGGACTCCTTCAGGCCAAAAAGGCCCGATAGGACTCCTTCTTCAGCCTGACAGCATTCCTCACCGAAGGTGTCCACCAACAGGTTCGAGGGTTGCCGCCGCGACAGGCACAGACAACCTTGCAGCTACAGCTCCAATAAGCCGCTTTGACAATGGAGGCACAGAACATGGTCCACTCGGACTCAATGTCCCCCACAACCCCTGAAAACGTCTTCAAAGTTCTGCTGGAGATCGGAGTTAAAGCTCCGTCTCACAGGAGACTCTGCCAGACGTTCCCAGCAGACCCTCACAACATGTTTGGGCCTGCCAGGTCTGACCAGCATTCTCCCCGACCACCGGAGCCAACTCACCACCAGGTAGTGGTCAGTGGACAGCTCCGCACCTCTCTTCACCCGAGTGTCCAAGACCTGTCACTGCAGAGCCGACGAAACATATATAATATAGATTTAATATCAGTTATTGGCCATAACAGCAATATTAACATCAGCACACATTTTCAAATCTGTGCATCACTAGTTTTTAAACTAAATAATTTGAAAGCTGTATTTTGTATTTACTCAAGTTATATTTGTCTGATGTAAAAAAGAAAAAATAATGTATATGGCAAAAACAGAATAAATCTAAAGGCGTGCAAATACTTTCTTATGACACATGATTTTATCCTCAGTCAGTTACCCTGAACAGAATTGTCAGCATATGAATACAGTTGCAAAAATAGCTGGAAATATAAAAAGTTCAACATGTGATTATCTAAACTAGACATTTTCTCCTGGCTTTTTTCATACAGAGTGTGTAACTGTGTGTGTTGATAAAACAATGATTTCTGAGTGTTTTAATGCTTTGTGATGTGTGGCTGCTGAGTCAGTGTTTGGATAAAGTCATATGTGGCTTTTAAAGTTGGAAAAAACGGGGTTGTTATTAATAATGTCTTATTATTTCACTTGTAACAAGACATTATTCCCATGTTACAAGTTAATTTATCTGCCTATCAAAGAAGTACCTTTTCATCAATATTAAGGAATTATTTACTCAAAACAAGCCCTATATCCTGCTGAAAAGTCACTTTTAATATAGTATGTCTTATTCCATGTGTACTAAGATATTTGCACTAGAAAGTAGACCAAAAAACTTGGTATAACTTTGTGTTCTTGCAGTGAACTTGATTGAATTGTTTGTTTTGCTCTGCTGTAGCCAGAGTCTGGAGCAGATGCTGACAGCTTGCCCTCACACATCCGTCCATTCACCAGCTTTGCAGAGTATCGTCTGGTCAAACTCACCTACCTACAGCTACAGGAAAGCGGTTTCTACTGGGGGCCCATGACCATGGAGGAAGCACACCAAAGACTCACTCACGCAGCTCTGGGAACTTTCCTTCTCAGGTAGCATCAGAGTTTCATTTCACTTCTTATTCCTGGTTTTACTGCTTTTATTCAGATGAGTCTGGGGGATACCATGAGCTGAGGAGCACCGATGCTTCATAAGTTTTTTAATTATTTAAAACTACTAGTGTCCATTCATCTTCCATTTGTTGGCTGATTTTTATTTTGTTGAGTTTTTTTCAACTATTTTAGGGAATTCATATTTTCCTGAGCAGGTAAATATGCTTCAGTGTCATTTGATCTGAGCTACATGCCACATATTGACCAAAAAAGCAGTAAATAATTATTATTTATAAATATAATTACACACTCGATAAGCTAACACCAACCTATGATAGAAAGCAAGCTTTTTTTTGTTTCTAAATTTGCACAGATCATTTTGTAGAGTGGTCCTTACTTCCAGTTTGTAAAATATTTTTAGTGAAAAGTTTTCTCTAGCACTGCATCACGTTACAGTGCCAGGGTTTCCCCCAGTGTATTAGCCCCCGCCAGGGTAAGTGTTGCTTGTTTTTGTATTTCTAAAAAAGAAAAGAAAAAAATCACAACTTTAATTTTTTTCTTAAATAAGCCAGTCTGCAAGCATCTCTGCTGCGCTGAGCATTTCACTGGCAGGGCAGAATCGCCCCTGAAAAATGGGTTTATAGTTGGTGAATTGAACAGGGCATGAAGCCAGGAGGCTTCATGGTCATGGGCCTGTTCATACCAATATATCACACCGCTGTCTCGCGCGCTGTTGCTCCGGGATCTCTGAAGTTTACCATGGCATGGATCCCATGCCTCCTTTCACTCAAACTGGACACAGGTTCACCTGTATGGACATTTATATCAACCCCCTCATGTTGAGAACTCATCTTTCTCCAAAGACTCATGTTTCTTTGGGGAATTCTTCATCAAGGTATGAGTCAAGTTTAAAAGCCACCTCATTTGCTCTACTTAGTTCAATGTGAAGCGCATATATAGCCCTATAGTCACGCATATAGAGGTGCGTGTTGAGCATGCATTGAGGATGATTTATCTTAGTGAACAAAGAACTATGTGTGGGATCTGCACATAATGGTGCAGATTCTGCACCATTATGTGCAGCGTGTGACACGCTGCCCAGCGAGTAACTGATAAAGCTCATGTACATGTTCAGCCCATGGAGGACATGTCGCACTAGCCCCGTAGTTGCACAGCATGCTGGTTTTAGTCTCTGTGGCGCTTATTAAATGCTCAGTAGACACAAAATGGAAGCGCTAGTAAAGCCACATAAATTAAATCTCCCGTTTGTCCCTCTGTATTCAGCAGAGATGCGCAGTGCAGCGGATTTAACTTATCATGCAGGGCCGGTCCAATGCTGTATGAAGCCTTGAGCAGAATAGATTTAGGAGCTCCTCTGCTGCTAAAAATATCAGCACCATAAACAGCATTTCAACATAGATTTAGTGAAATCTGGGAGAGTGGGCCTAGTTTAATTGGCCACCCTTACAAACAATCAGTGATAATTGTAGTTTACTGAGATATATTTGTGAACAAACAAAGCTCAAACTCACAGATAAAACTCACAGCATCACATTGCAGCTATGGTAACAAAACAATCCAACTATTTTTAAGAGAATAAAATAATTAACTTTTGGCTCGTTATATTCTCTTGTGCTCCCGGATTCAATGATTCCATGCGTGGAAAC